AGAGCCAACTATCCCATTCTCATTGGAAGTGATTCCTGCTTGCCTAACTCTTTCTTTGGGCATTCTACGATGAGAATTTCTTCATGTAATGCTTTATATTGTATTTCAAATTCTTGAAATGTCTTTTTTCTACTAGTTATTTTTCTCACCTGTTCTTGCTCATGCAATGAGATTTTATGCTCCTCATCCAAACATTCAAAATTCTTTTTTAAGGATTCATGTTTCTTTCTAAGCATATTAAAGCTGTGATTAATTTCTTAAGCCGTTAAAAAGAAATCTTTGTATGAGAGATCATTTGCTTGGGTAGTTTTTGCATTTTTTGGATATCTTTAGCCATTAAAAATGCATTGTTGATCGCATATTCAGGTTCACTGGCTAATTAATTTATACCTGAGGTCATCCAAAAATGCATATGAAATTTCTTTGTATGAGATATCATTTGCTTGATTAGTTTTTGAATTTTTGGGATCATCTTTTGCCATTAAAATATATTGTTGATCGCATATTCAGGTTCACTAGCTAATTAATTTATACCTGATGTCATCCAAAAATGCATATGAAATTTCTTTTTTAAGTCTTGTTTGTCCTTTAGTTTTTCTTTTTAAGTTGAGTTTTTAATATTTGGGCAGTATCACTTGATGTAATCTGCTTTCCTACTGATGTCATTAATCATTATTGGATTTTTTATTACCTTACCTTTCTCCTTCCCTTTCTTTATTATTATTATTATTATTATTATTATTGTTATTGAGAAAAGAGCCTTTCTGGTAATTAGAGTCACAGCTTCATCATTTGATCTCTCATTGCTGTGAGATTTGTGAATATCAGTGCAATTTTTTTTTCTTTCTTTTTCCTAGTTGCATCTTTCGTTCACTTTTCGGTTTGTATGTAACAAGATAATCAAGGAAATGGTCAATAGAATAAGTAGTTGAAGTTTTGGACTCAAAAATAATTTAAACCCTTTTGTCCCATTAATGAAGCAGACATTTAATTGTTTTAGTGACTTTCTGGGCATTATTATACTTTTTAGCAAATGTATGCAATGCTATAACAATTTTAGTAAATTTCCTTACCTATATAAAATGCTCTCATTTAACTATGCTTAAATTTTTTTAATGCGAGATCAAATAACTTCATTGTGCCTTCGTGAGTATCTCATATTTCTATACTTGTTGACTAATACAATTCTTAGATTTTAAGATGTAGAAAATTTAATTTAAGCATTTGGTATTTAATTGTTTAAACTTACACTCTTTTTTAGCAATTCACTAAAAGGAATATCTACATAATTTTCATGTTTGAAGTAATTTGGAGTGGTATATACTTGTATTAGATTTGAAATGTGATAACTTATAGATTAAATGAAGGTGACCATTCTAACTTTTTGGAAGTAAAAAATAATGCCATCAAATGGTGGTCATCGAATGATAGAATATTATTCCATAGTGATCGCACTTTTTGAATGTGCCAAATATTTTTATTTTAGGTGGTGAAACATTCAAGCAACCTGCCACTCTTTCAACTCCCACTGAGAATAATGCTACATCAGCGCACCAACTAGCAATGTCATCTTTACAAAAGCTTTAGAAATATACGACCTCTGACAAACGACAGCTTTCAAAACAAACAAATCGTCAGACGATGAGGATCATAAGGTATTAAGATGAGGTATGTACCTACCAAGAAGTGCAATATTATGAAAGCTTTGTTTTTAGGGTTGCTAATGGTGCCTCATCAAGAAACCTCTATTCTTTCTAGTATGTCGCTCTCTCTTTTCTCATATTTAGAGTTTGATAAAAAATCCAATTATTATATCTGTAGCTTAATTATCTTAATTTTATATTAAAAAGTAGATTATTGATTGATCATATAATACGATATTGTTTGGTATGATTAGTTCAAATGGATTTGCTTCCAAATTGTTTAAAGTCAAACCCTTGATTGTGATAATTAAGGGAATTAGTAGTATATTATGATATATATTGTATAGTATGATTGTTTACATTTTGAATTATCCTAATTAAGGGAATTAGTAGTATATTATGATATATGTTGTACACTTGGAGATAAAATGCGAAATGAATATATCCGTGATAGGGTTGGTGTAGCTCTAGTGGCGATAAGATTAAAGAGAGACGTCTTAGATTGTTTGGTCACATTAAATGTCGACCATCTGATGATTCGGTTAGGAGAGTAGATGTTTTAGATTCAACTTATGTTAAGAAAGACAGGTGTAGCCCTAAAAAGATTTGGGTATATTATATAAAAAATGATCTTAATCAATTAGCATTAAATGAAAATATGACACTCAATAGGATGCAATGGAGAAAAATGATTCATGTATCCGACCCCACTTAGTGGGATAAAGGTTTGTTGTTAAAGGAAATTTGAATTGTATGCGAGGAGATGATCATTATTTTGATTCTACTATACGATGAACATGTAGGATAGGATCTTGGAATATAGGTACTCTCAATGATAAATTAATGAAATTAGTTGATATTATAATTCATAGAAAGATTAATATATTATGTATTCAAGAAACTGAATGGGTTGGAGAAAAAGCTAAGGAGATTGATAACTTGTGTTTTAAACTTTGGTTTTCTGGTAAGAGTCGCACTATAAATGGCGTATGTGTAATTATAGATAAGAGTTTGAAAGATAATGTTGTAAAAATTAATAGAGTTGGAGATAGAATTAAAGCCCTAAGATTATCTTTGATACTCAGATTTTTAATATTATAAGTGTTTATGCTCCTTAAGTAGGTTTAGATATAGGGTCTAAAGATAAATTCTGGAATGACATATAAGACTTAATACAAATGATACCTCTTGAAGAAAGAATCTTTATTGGAGGAGATTTAAATGGACATGTCGGTAGAGTGGTAGAAGATTTTAAAAATAGTTATGGTGGCTACGGTTTTGGAGTGACTGAAAAAGGTAGAGCTATTTTAGATTTTGTTTTAGTGTATATATTCAAGAAAAGAGATGAGCATCTTATTACTTATAAGAGTGGATCTAAAAACACAAATTGATTATTTTCTTATGAGAAGAAGAGATCATCACGATTGTAAAAATTGTAAGGTCAATCTAAGTGAAAATTTAAGTACCCAACATCGTTTATTATTTCATGATTTTTAGATGAAGAGTTAGAAGATAAAAAAAATACAAAAAAATATTATCATAAAATTAGATGGAGAAACTTAAAAGACAAATACTTAAAAGACAAATAATTTATTTTTATGAGTAAAATTCAATATTTCAAAATTTGGGATATTCATGAAAAAACAAATATTATGTGGGATAAAGTTACAAAAACTATTAAACAAGTAACAAAAGATGTGCTTGGAGAATCAAAAGAAAAAGTTTTTTTAAATAAAAATAGTCGGTGGTTGAATTATAATGTGTAAGAAAAGATAATATATAAGAAGTTATGTTATAAAAATTGGTTTAAATGTAAAAACTTAGATAACTGAGAAAAATATCAAACGGTTCGCAAGGAGTCTAAAAGAACAATCTGTGACGCTAAAAATTCTGCTTTTATTAACCTTTATAATAGATTAGATACTAAAAAAGGTGAAAAATATATGTATAAACTAGCCAAACAAAGAGAAAAGAAAAGTAAAGAAACTTAAGTAAAGTGTATTAAAGATGAATATCAAAAAGTACTTTTCTTAGAAAAAGATATTCAATATAGGTGGGTGAGTTACTTTGACAAACTTTTTAAAGAAGTTTTTAAAAAATGCGATTGACCTTAGTGATCTTAATGTCGTGAATAATAATAAAACGTTTCATTTTTACTATCGCATTAGTAAAAAAGAAGTTGATGAGGCTTTAAAGAAAACCAAGGGTGGAAAGTCTGTAGGACCTGATGATATCCCAATTGAAGTGTGGAAATATTTGGGAGATTTGGGAGTGTCTTTGCTTACTAAACTCTTTAATATTATTTTAAAAACTAAAAAGATGCCTGAGGAGTGGAGGAAGAGTATTTTGATCCCCATTTTTAAGAATAAAGGGGATGCACAAGAGTGTGCAAATTATAGAGGAATTAAGTTGATGTATCATACTTTAAAATTATGGGAGAGGGTAATTGAACATAGGTTAAGATGCATCACGAAAATTTCTCATAATCAATTTGGATTTATGCCTGGCAGGTCTACTATGGAAGCTATACATTTATTGAGAGGTTTGATGGAGAAGTTCAGAGATAATAAGGAGAATCTACATTTGATTTTTATTGATTTAGAAAAAGCTTACGATAAGGTTCCAAGAGATATCCTTTGGAAAGTTCTCGAGAAGAAATGTGTTGATATGACTTATATTCAAGTCATTAAAGATATGTATACTAGAGCTGTTACTTGTGTTCAAACTGAAGGAGGATTGACAAAATATTTTCCTATTTCTGTTGGTTTACATCAGGGATCGGCTTTAAGCCCATATCTTTTTGCTTTAGTTATGGATGGTCTTACTGGACATCTACAGGAGGATGTACATTGGTGTATGTTTTTTGCTGATGATATCCTTCTCGTGGATAAAATGAGAGAAAAAGCCCAGGAAAAACTTGAATTATTGAGGTCTACATTGGAGTCTAAATGCCTTTATGTAAGTAGATCTAAAACTGAATACATGGAATGTAATTTTAGTAGTAGTAGCTCTCTGGTAGAGTTGTAACTATGGGCGATCAAATCATTAAAAGGTATGTACGTTTTCGATATTTCAGGTTTTGTTCAAAGTGATGATGATATAGATGTGGATGTTATTAGTAGAATTCATATTCGTTGGTTGAAGAGGAGGAATGCATCGGGTCTAGATAAGTACCTTTTAGACTGAAAGGAAAATTTCATAAGACGGTGGTGAAACCTGTAATGCTATATGACGCTGAATGTTGGCCTTTAAAAG